CTTGGGGATAACTGCGCAGCAGAGAGTCAGGTGCAGCGTGAGGGGAAAGCTCCACAAGCTAAGAAAGGTAAGTTACAACGGCTTCATGATGTGCAAGATCGTCCTAGTAAGAAGAGCAACTTAGAGAGGCAGCATGGAACACAGATAAATTTAAGGAGCACAGTAAAATCTTCAAGTGCACACGAGCAGGCAGGCAGTAAGCATAATCAGAAGAAAGTGGATAACAAGAGTTCTTCTGATTTGGAAGTCACTGAAATTGCTAATCTCGGCATGGAAGGAAACTCTAGCTCCATCTTGCCTTCAAATCAATTAGACAAAAGGGTATGTCCCCTTCTTTTAGAATTTCAAATGGTTTTTTCTGCGAGTATGGTCTCTCCTCCAGCCCCTTTCATTATATTTTTTCTATGTTCTAATCTTATAGAAACAGTTTACTAACTATTAGTTGTACGAGATTATTTACAAAGATGAATGATAATGTCCAGCATCCAAGTGGGTACTCGGAATTCAGAAAACAAATCATAAATATTCTGAGGGAACCATACAAAAAAGAGGAGTACGATGAGCTTCGGCAAGCTATTGAAGCCCAAAAGGCAGAAGGAAGCAAAGAACCTAGTGGTAAGTTGAAGATTGCATAGTTTCGGTACTACAAATTTTTTTTCGTGCTTAGGCATTAGTTGGCCAGTGTGACGAATTTGTTAGAATGAAGTTAAGGCTTAGTTACAACTTTTGTAAAAATCATGATTCTTGATTGTTTGTTTTCTTTGCTAAAACTCCTGTTTAAACTACAGTTTCTGTAATTATGAGCCATTGTTGACTTCATTTGAACTGATTCATTGCTGCTAATGTTAACAGTTTTACATTCTTTAACTTCTTGATTTTTCTGCGGGAAATTAAATTTGTATTTCTTGTTTCTATGAGTCAGATAGTGTTCTTCAATTGGCTTCAGGAGTGAAGGTATCCATGACAATTATTTGTCAGTTTCATGGATATCACGGTTTGGATAAGCTTCGAGCAAAATAAATGGAACATTATTTCCAATTATAGAAGAATACATTTGTTAGTTATGATAATTAGAAATAGCAAATTGAGGTTTCAGTGTACAGGTAACTTTGAATAGCAAAATTATTCCAACTCCCTAATTCACTGCATTAATAGGCGTGTTCATGCATGGTAATAATGAATTCTGTGCTGGTGGTCCCCTCTCTCACAAATCTATATGCGTGCACGTGCATATGTAGTTGCCCGTTTCTTAGTTTTGAAGTCTAAACTGATCGATTATCCGGTACACGGATTTTCATGAATGGAGAAGTTTTATTAATAATCATATATGCTTTACTTTGACAAAGAACATGCCTCTTTTTACTAGTATTATCTGAGTTGGATTTTTTCCTTACATGTCTAGCCTGAGAGACTCTTGTTCGTATGCAGATCTTCATGAAAAGCTCAAAAAGTTCGAAAAGGAACGAAAGAAGAACTTGATGGAACGTGGATTTTTCTTTTGGCTTGAGGTAGTGTAATATTTCTTTCCCTAAGTCCATTGTTTCATTTAAGGCTATTATAGTGAGAATCACATCTTGTGATTCTACTAATTGGTAGTATGACATATGATGGATGGAGAAGGCAACAAGCGACGTGTTAAATCCTTTGCTGGTCGCTTCCTTCCTGAAACTTGTAGTTTGTAGACTTCAAATTTGCATTTAAAATCTCAATCTCACAACCATATATAGCTGATTAAGAAAGTTGGTGAGGCAGAAGTATGGTTAGCGGTGGCAAAAAAGCTCGTAGGCTCGGACGGCTCGGAAATAGCCCGAACCGGGCCCGGCTCGGTCGAACCGAGCCCAGGCTCGGTCGAGCCCCACTTTGGGGGGCCGGCTCGAGCCCGGGCCGGCCCG